TACACTGCCAAATTCAGATTAATGTGCATTTAACTAACATGGATCAAGGGAATTCTGGCTGACAGCCAGCTGTAATCGGGGCAATTGATAGCAGTGAGGAGTTGTATGCCCTGTCCACCGAAGTGCACCACTGCTGAAATTGATTGATTAAATGAATTCATTGCTATAATTACTTATAATCTTGATACATCACAAGCCCATACCTAACCCTATCCTTGAAGACAGTGTACCTATTGAAGAAGGGCATTCTGGTCGAACTGTTGACTAGGAATTATTTATTCCCACATAATAAGCCTTTCTCACCTTTTTTACATTTTGAATAGAGATGTAAAAAGGCGCATTTCTGTAAGAATTAATTTATATGATGTACTAAAAAGGTTTCAGGAAACTAAAAGCCAAGTGTATGTTATTAACCACCCAAAAAGGAAGGAAAGCATGACTCCTTATTCATCTATCTGTATTTTTAAAGACTCCTGCAGAGAGAATTTCCTCTCCAAATATAGCCGATGTGCAGCTATCATTAGTGGTCCCCTCACAGTGCAGCTAAGCAGTTTGGCAGCCCTGGGTGACGATTTGCAAAACAATCAACCTAGCCTTCCTGTATTACTTTGTGCCATATGGGGAACCCCTTTAGAGGATGTGGAAGCCAAGTCATTCCTATAGAGTTATTTGTTCACAAAGCACAGGCCTGCTTCCCCTGGTGGAATAGGAACAGTCTTTGTGGTGTCTCTGTTGTTTACTTTCCTATGTTACAGCTTTCTTCTCCTTTTCGGCCCTCACGCTGAGGTCTCTGGGGGGAAACTGCATACACACATCCTTTGGAAATGGTTTAAAGCATGAGTTCTGGGAGATGCATTGATTCACTTAGTAATTACCATCTGTTTTGATGTAGTAAAACTGCACTGCGGTTTTACTAAATGATTGGTCTCTACATCCCTTCACAAATACTAGAGACATATTTATATGAGATTCCATAGCTATTCCATTTTTGTCTAGAATATGTCTGTAAACTACATGAAGAAAAGATTTCACGGCTCAAGTTTGACTCCTCTGCATGAGCATGTGCATATAAAAATATACATAGGCAGGTTCATTTGTGCTTCACCACTCCCAAATACAGACAAGTTAGAGGAATGAGTACAGATGTCAAGAGCATGCAAGACGGGGAGGTGGTCACATCATAGGAAAGCAACTAGGCTTCTCTTTGTAAAAGAGCATACAGATGAAAGCTGGGGCATCAGTGTCACTGATACAAAGTTGATTTTGACCAAAGCAAACCTGAAAATAACGAGTTGTGTACATAGATGATCAATTCACTTTTCTGAGGCAACCACTTTTTTTGTATATTTAGGAGACTTTTCTAAGACAAGACTGTTAAGAACAAGAATACAACTATAGTTTTTCTTTCAGCCCATTCCCATAGACCTTATCATCCATTATTTTCTGGTCCAATTTTTTTTATTTTCCTCCAGGCTACTCAGAAACACAGGGTCCCAGATGAACATTATGGCATGCCTTATCTCTGTCATTGTCAACTCACACGCTGCCCTCCTCTGCCCACTCCCCATCCCCCATCATCAAAGCCTGTCTCAGTGAACTTATGTAGGACCCAGGTGACAAATAACTCAGAGGAGGTTGGCACTTCCATTCTACTGCCTTAGTAGCTTTAAGGCTTTTGTCTGACTTCCTTCAACATACTATGCCTCAGTCCTCTTATAAAAATAGAGAAAACACTTATGGGTCTTATTGTTTAAAGTGAGGTTGAAATGCCATGATGTGCTTGGAGTACTTAGAACAGTCCTCAATACCTGGTAAGCACTCAACAAATGCTGTCATTTGCTGTTTATTTTTTCCTGCAAGAACAGATTTTTAACAGAGTAGTACATAGGAAGGGAGCCCAACTTTGGCCCCAAGGAAATGCCAGGGCATTTTAATCACAAGGAAGAGCCCCAGCTTTGATTAAACAGATCAGGTAGGTAGCAAGTAATGGTGGGAATGTCATGGCAGGCCAGAAATCAGATCTGGGTGCCAATGTGCTATGGGTCCAGGACATTCAGAAACCTGCTTCTGTGAATACAGGATAGACCTCAGCAGAAGTGGCAGGTCCTATGATCCTCTTGGGAGTGTGGGAGCATTGGCCTGAGTTGCTTGCAGGATATTTTATCTTCCCAAGCCTTAACTTTATTGAAAACAAAACAATTAAAAGGAATGAGGCCTTTCCCAAAGGCATGAGCTAGTAACATCCTCCATCATTGCAGGTGGTTAAGATGAAAGTGAAGGCTGCAGTTCAGTGACCCTGTGGTCCCAGGGGATCACTCCTGCACTTTTCCCTTGGAAAGGCTGATTGTCTGCTCTCAGCCCCTTGAATGGATGGATAAAGGCCCCGAGGAGAGATCACGTGTTCACTTGCCTGAAGCAGACAGTTATTTTTCTGAGTCACTTGGTTTGGTTCTAAAACTGTCTCTTGTGGCTGTGGTGGTTCCTCGTTGCTTTTTTTAAGAGTCTGCACCTCTTTCCAGCAGCCATGAAAGACAATTGCATATTCTTATCTAAAATACCTAATTTCAAAGACATTTAGCTCTCAGAAAACAATTCTGTCTTGTCTGTACGAGGAAATTGTCCCTTTCATGCAGGCGTGGGTATTCTTTTTTTTATTCCACAAGCTACTTGCTCAGAGTGGATCCTAATAATGCTGCTGACAGATGATAAAGGAGAAAATGACCCTAATGCAATGTGAAGTAGTGTTTATAATTTCTGCTGGCCGTGGCTTTGCTGTCTGTAATATACCTTTAGAGATCAGTTATACAGGCTCATGGAAGAGGAATGTAACTTTGTCTTAAGTATAAGAGAAAAAAAAAATCTCCCCATGAGGACTCTGGAAATTGGTGGCATTTGAGGCTCCAGGATCTGCTTTCAAAAATAAAAGTTTAAGACCTTATTTGGCCTTCCTGCTGGCCTTGCTGGTGAGCCTGACCTTGGTTAATGAGAGTTAATGTAAAGCAAGATACTAATTGTTTTTACAGTGATATTCCTCTATTCTGCTCCCATTACACACACACACACACACACACACACACACACACACACACACACACACACAGAGAGAGAGAGAGAGAGAGAGACAGAGAGAGAGAGAAAGAGAGACAGAGAGAGACAGAGACAGAGACAGAGAGAGAAACAGAGACAGAATCTTGTATAGACATAGGGTCTTAGAAATCCCATTTTCTAATAGAGTAAGTTAACTATAACACATCATTCAATGTATTATGTTTTAAAGCTCTGTCTTATTGTTTTCATGAACTATGAACCAATAGCTGAGGAGCTCCCATGGAACTGGACCAGGCCCTCTGGATAAGTGAGATAGTCAATTAGCTTGAACTATTTAAGAAGCCCCAGGCAGTAGGACTGGGACCTGTCCTTAGTGCATGAGCTGGCTTTTTGGAACCTAGGGCCTATGCTGGAACACTTTGCTCAGCCTAAGTGAAGGGAGGAAGGGACTGGACCTGCCTCAACTGAATCTACCAGGCTGAGCTGAATCCCCAGGGGAGTCCTTGCCTTGGAGGAGGTAGGAATGGGAGGTAGGCTGGGGGGAAGGAGGGAGGGGGGAGGGGAGAGGAGAGAGGACAGGAGAATCTGTGGCTGATATGTAAATTAAATTAATTATAAAATTAAAAAAAGAACTTAATATGCAGGAACATATGTGACACTGATATGTTGTACATCTGTAAATGTTATCTAGTTTTATTGTTCTTGAGGTTATTATTTTCTTTTATGTTGCCATTATTGTACTAAGTACTTTATAGAATGTAACAGTACATGAAATTTATTGTCCCATCACCATTTAAATCCTTTTATATCTACACAATCGTCTAGAGTTCCCTACAATCTAAGGAATGAGATGTTAATATTTTTACCATTATTTCATTTTACAAATGAGAAAACTGAGGCTCAGAGATGCTGAGTGTTTTGACTGAAGCTATCAGAGTCATAACATACTAATTATGTTCCTCTGTATGCGAGTAGTGGCTCCATCTGAGTGGAGTGCTGTGTCCCTGAAGTTGGAATAGCTAACTTTTGCATGTGTCTTCATCTGGCCCGTCAGAATCCCCCTCTATAGGCCAAGCACTGTGACAGGGACGGTTCCTATCCCCGTCAACATCAGCATGGTGACAGACAGGAACTCGGGAAAGCCTTCCTTCTAGATGAATGGTCTTCTCTGCAGGCTTCTTAAGTGCTCACATGACAGAGCAGTTGAAGGAGGGCAGAACAAGCGATTTCAGTGAGATAAACTCTGCCACAAGCCTGGGGACAGTGGAGTGGACACAGCAATGATCCCTTTGCTGGTTTCCTCGCCCTTCCGTGCCCTGCTTGTCCTCTTCCTTCTTCCCTACCAAGTTCCCTCAACCCTGCCTTGCAAAGCCAACGGGGAGTGGTCTTTCCAGGAATCTTGTTGAAGGCTGGCCAAGGCCAAATATTCTTTTCTCATAAATACCTGCAATTTTTCTTTACTCTCAATTATAGTTGAACTTACTTGGTGAAAATGTCATAATTTTACTTTACACTTCACATGGAAGCAAAGGCTGTTTAGCTCCAGGAGCCATGTTTTACCTTTTATAGATAAAGGTACTGACTGTGTTGTGTGTATGAATGTCACATACCTTCAAGGAAATAAGTTTGGAAGCATGGGGAAAGTCTCCTTCCTACCTCTGAAATTTCTCCCCAAATGCTGGCTGAGATCCAATGTCCATCATGGGGTCTTTCCTTCATACTTAGGGCATAAACAAAACATATATCTTGGATAAGGAACATACGGATCAAATCAGCCCTTGGTTGGAGGTAGGAGTAGAGAGCATGGGTATGGGAAGGCTCTTTCCTGGGTGTAGCTGGTAATTGTAGCTGTGCAGCTAGATCCTGTCAGTATTGCCTCTTCTCTTTCTTCTGCCAGCTCTAGACTTCAGATTCATATCTGGTAAATGCTGCCCATCTATCTGTCTTCCCAGGTGGATTATGATCGAGCACAGATGGTCTTCAGTCCTCCACTGTCAGGGTCTGACACCTACCCCAGAGGCCCCACCAAACTACCTCAAAGTCAAAGCAAATCAGGCTATTCTTCAAGCAGCCACCAGTACCCTTCTGGGTACCACAAAGCCTCCCTGTACCACCATCCCTCCCTGCAAACCAGTTCTCAGTACATCTCCACCGCTTCTTACTTGAGTTCTCTCAGCATCTCCTCCAGCACCTACCCTCCACCTAGCTGGGGCTCCTCCTCAGACCAGCAGCCCTCTAGGGTATCCCATGAACAGTTCCGAGCTGCCCTGCAACTTGTGGTCAGCCCAGGAGACCCCAGGGAATATTTGGATAACTTTATCAAAATCGGAGAAGGGTCGACAGGCATTGTGTGCATTGCAACTGAGAAGCATACAGGAAAGCAAGTGGCGGTGAAGAAAATGGACCTCCGGAAGCAACAAAGACGGGAACTCCTTTTTAATGAGGTAAATGCTGTGTTTGGATTGCCTCTTTCTTATGTTGATGTAACATTTGCTTCCTATCTCCAAGGCAGTATATATAGGGGCTGGGAAGAAAATTCAGTTAGTGAAGTGCTTGCTATGGAAGCACCAAGCCCTAAGTTCTTTTCCCAGAACTCAGGTAAAACAACAACAAAAACAAACACAAAAACTGGCATGGTGATGTGTGCAAATAATTCCAGTGCTGCGGGATCTTCAATTTTGTACTTGCTCCAATCTGGTGCTTTCTGGCCAGACAGCCTAGACTATTGGTGAGCCCTGGCTAGTGAGAGACTCTGCCTCAAAAACACACAATCACACTCCTGGAAATGACACTCAAAGTTGTACTTTATCCTCCATATACCTGTCATACCCATGTGCACACCACTACACACACACACACACACACACACACACAGAGAGAGAGAGAGAGAGAGAGAGAGAGAGAGAGAGAGAGAAACAGAGAGACAGAGAC